ACTATTTTTAGCACAACACATTCAAGTGACTTTTTTAGCAACAAGAAAATATACAAAGAATGTATGCAATGCATCTAAGATCTAAGACATTCACCAGAGATTTAGAGAATATTTAGATTTAAACGTTCAACAGAAGGTGTCTGTAGGACGTTAACGTGTTCTTTAACTTGCAGCATGTGGCAGTTGCCACACTGATGCTGTGCTGGTGTTTCCTTGCAAATGCTGGTTGTCACATCACCAAGCAGTTTCCCACTTTTTTTTTCTACCTCTAGTACCTTTCTAAGAAGCATTTGTAACAAAAATTAAAAAAAGAAAAGAAAAAAAATAATCCGGTGAACGCCACTGTTTCCACAAATTCTCTCATGCAATTTGACAAAGTAGAAATCCAGTTTATTGCTACAAGTTTGGCTATTAAAACTCATGAACACACCAGCCTCACCAAAACTCTATAATGCTTCTACTAGATAGTAACAAGATATTGGTGGCTTTTAGATTTATAAAGAATTTCCACTGAAACATTTTTGGATACTCGGCACTTACCACCGTAATTTTTGAAGCCACCACGGTCACCACCACTGCAGAGGAAAAATTGAAGAAATGATTTCTTCCTTAAGTCTCTACGTGCTGAGCCCAAGGCTCAATCTACAGTTAACTGATGACAAGTTGAGAATTACTGTCTGGCAGCTAAAGCACCATGTCTACGTTCTCCTCACTACCCATTCATGTTCAAAGATTAAATTACAAAAAAAAAATCTCTCAGGGTGCTGCACTGGAGAAGACAAGCCCTAAGGAGTATTTTAAACTAACCCATACACATGTGGTTGGTTCAATACTTTCTCCCATCCCATCAGCCAAAATAACAGCTATTCAAACTGGGGTTTAAAACAAAAATGGTATTTTCATGAAGATTAATGTGGGCTTTAATTGTAGATGTAATTGCTACTTTGGAATAATTAGTACTTTAGTACTTTCCTAGAAGTCAAAAGAGCTAAAATTAATCTCTATTGTTATGCATTCATAATAGAGGGGATAAATTAGCAGAATGAGCCATTCTCTGAGCAAGGGTCTGTGGGGACCTACTGTACTACAGCACTTGGCATTACAGAGAAGGTGTGTGTATGTGAGCTTCAAAAGCAGAGGCCGTGAAGTTTTATTTCATTCATTCTGAAACCTGTGGCACAAAATGTAGACCAAGTTAAGAGAATACACACATCAATTTTCAAAGGTTAGAAGGGGATTTAAAACAGGTTGTTATGCCTCCAATTATGTGCATGAAAATAAACCCTCACTCTTTATTCACTGGAAAGGTTTGTACTGGAAGGATTTTTCACAACAGCATTTTTAATTGCATTCATGGTATGAACACAAGATAATCAATACTCAGAGCCATCAGAGAAAAACCACTGGGTTTTTTAGAAAGCCAATAACCAAATGTCAGAAGGACTCTCTCATACTTCCATGTACAACTGTCTGCTTGTCCTCCTCGTCCTGAGGGACACAGCTGCCACCTCAAAATCAGGCAGGATCACCTAATCCCACAAGCTTTCTCATTTTAAAGGCAGTGTGAGCTCAAACCCTGCTGCAGAGAAATATCTCCAGCCTCTGGAGCTATTGTGCCTCTTCACCAAAGCACTTTGTGACTGGAAATCACTAGGTGATTAACTAACCTTTAATTACAGGTGTTAATTCCATCTGTCTGCTCACACATCAGTCCAAACAGGGCACACAAGCACCCACCAAAAGGCAATGAAGTAAAATTAGGGAGTCATTTCTCTTTCACTCTCTCCATCTGTTACAGCAAATGGAAAGTCATAAATGGAATCTGCTGATACTTAACATTTATGAGAGAAAATCTGCCCAAAGAGAGGACCAAATAAAATTTCAACAGGTTATTATCAAACCTGGATTAAGAGACACTCTTTGGAGGGTGACTGACATTCTGGGACAGTTTGGCACAACAGACAGTATCACTTTTACTGGGACTTTTCTTAAAATAAATTTTTGCTGCATATTTTATTGCTGTTCCACAGAAGAAATCTGACTGCTAAACTGCAGTGTCATTTATTCATTTGTTCACTCTGCTCATGAAAGATTTTGCATGCAGCATCAGGGCTGGTCTTTACTCAAGGACTGATGATTAAAAACACAATGGTGGTAATAAAATTTACCGTAAATACCTTTCTGCCACCTCCAATTCACTTCAGCTTAAAAAGGAAACTTCATTATGATACAACAATTTTTACTAGGATGCCTGTTTTACTGGGATTTTAACTTGGAAACAACAACAGTATATAATATAAACCATCCGACCCCAGATTATGGTCCCAGCTCATCAGGACAGCAATATCCAGAACAAATATATTTTCTGATGTGGAAGTGTATGGCAGTTAGAAAACCCCAACAATTAAAAAATGTACACCAATTATGTTTGTGTCAACATAACCAGGATTTTGCTGGAAGTGAGGGTTTTGCAGGATGCTGGGGTAAAAATGTGTGCACCATAGTCCTGAACAGTGGGAGTTGAATATACAAAATGTAAGGAAGTCACAGTCTAATGCCTTAATTCTGTGATAAAGCAGTTCTGCACTCTGCACTAACAAGTGTAATCAATCATTTTAATTCATTTTTAAATTAATGTTTACAGAAATACATTTTTGCTCAAGTATGCCTCAGCATGTTGTCCTCTGCTTAGTCGCACATGACCAGCCCAACAAAAATATGGAACAATCTACTGATAAGACACCTTTGACAACAGATTAATGCTTTCCTACATTTTTTTGTGGCATCTGATTAATGAAGCTGCAGTTTGTTACCTTCCTGCAATTGCTGGGCAAAGCTAGCCAAGATTGCCTGGGATCAGGCAGATACCCTGCAGCAAGTCAAACACAGAAATTGCAAGCAGCTGATGCTACAGTCTCAGATTTGCCCCTCATTAAGACCCAAAATTCAACCTCAGCAACTGAATGAGTTCCCACATTACTGGCAGAAAACATGTGGAAAATACAGCTGCAGCATTTCACAGCCCACTGCTTTACCAGGCCTGCACATGGGCCTCAGAGATGGGTGACCAGATGGATGTTGGAGTCTTAATATCTTGTGTTAGAAACATGAAGAGGCAATTGAAATGCAGCAGTGCCACCAACTAAGATAATAAATAAGAGGCTGAACTGCAGGCAGCCAGAACATGACAAGGCACCACTCGGTGTATGAACTTGCTGCTGTGAAAGAGAAGTCCTCAGTTGCTCTTTTCTCCCATATTCAATAACAGATTTATCATCCCCTACTAGACTGTAACTGGACTTCATCTGGATATTGCTTAATCCAGCCAGGAACATCTCTTTAAATTAAAGTACAGGTAGTATGGGGAGCTCAACATACAAATGCAGTTTTATAAATATCAGATACTGGTAGAAGCAGCACTAAGAATTCAGGGACCAAATTTCAGCCTGCAATGTGTATGTGTCTCACCAAGTGTGTCCCTAACACCTAAAAGTATATTTTACAAACAAGAAAGGAATATTTAGAGCAGCAACAGTCACTAACAGATGGGTTTTTTCTCTTGCTTATATTTATTGCCTCTGTTCATATTTTTCCAAAGTTTCCATAAGGCTAAGCTCAAGCATGTATGTTACAAGTCAAAATATTAATGCTGAACACAAACCACACTTGTAAAACACATCTGCACTATGCTGCAGTTTCTTTATATCACATTAATTCCCACATCTAATAGCTGATAAATTAAGCTGCACAGGTACCTTGTGTTTATAGCAGATCACCACAAATCTGCACAAGAGAGGAAAAATAACCTGTGCTGAGCAAAATCAGGATTTCTATGACAAATCCTAACACAATGGCAAATCCTTTCTGAACTGCATGTCTGTGGTTCCCCCAGCACAGTCTGTGTGAGCAGAGCCAAAAGCAAAGCTCCTCTCACCTGCTTTGTTTGTTCCTGTGTTTCCCACTTCACCTTTAACAAAAACATTTCAGTCCCCCAGCCACAGTAACCATTCATTCCTTGTTTTTCAGATGAGGACTCTAAAAAGCTTGAGTATCCTAAAGTAAAACTCTGCAAAGGACCCCTACCCTTAAACCCCACATTTTCACAGGACTTTAACATGATTTCTTACCTTATTACAAGTTATTTTCCCCTTCATTATAGAGTTTGTTATTTAATTTAACCTTTTAAACTTCTCTAATAAGCATGTCTGGTAAAATACGTATGTCAGAAGGAGAATCCTCTGTCACAATTATGCAAAAAGACTGACTCAAGATATATGACAGTGAAGATACAGAAAATTTCCACAAAAATACCATTAAAGCCAACATCACTTAACAGAAGCAGACAGAATTCCTAATAAATGCCTTCCTACTTCCCTGAATTTTCCTCCACTTCTTCATTCACTTCCCCTTTTTCCCTTTTTTTGGCTTCCCAGTCAATGATGTACATCAATGTGTGAGTAAAAGTTTCCTTACATTTTGGAAAAATATGGCAAGAGGCTTTATTTTCACAGACATTAGTACATTTGACTTTATCTTGCAAAGACCCAAGTTTGTTTCAAAGTGACAAACTCTATCAGCAGTGTGTTTTTTGAAGCTCACATTCATTGCTATTATTGGAAAGGGCTAAGCTATAGATTTTTTTAAATAAAACAGTTTTTATCACAGGAATATGGAAAGTCCTCATCTTTTCATCAAGGAAGATCTAATTTAAAAAGAAGATCCGTTTTAACTGAAAATTAAAATTAACTTAGAAATTATTTTGTTATTTTTGTTTTATGTGAGGTACTATATATTACAAAATTATTTTTCTATATTTATGCTTATTTATAGTATATAAATTTATGCTTATTATAAAAATATTACAGAAAAATATACATTAAGTTTATATTATATTAAACCCCAGGAAACACAAAATAACACTAATATGATATTCTAATTGTGCTACCACATGTAATTGGACGAGGTAAGATCCTCCTACATCATTATAAACATGTGATCAAGTACAATTTAGGAGCAGCTCAGAAGCAGACAGATTTTAAATATGATTTAACAGTAAGTACCTTTAAAAGTAACCAAGCAGTGGATTATTTTATTTAAATCAGATCAGTTCCAACAGAAAACAATGTATAGAGTTTTTCATCCAGAGTTTAGGAATAGCCCAGAGCTGTGCAGCCTTTTGTAGGGTAAGTGGTGCTGACAAGCAAAACCTCAAAGCTCTCTGGAAGCTTCAACATTCTTGCCCTGCATCAGTGAACCCTCTGCACCTCCAAGCACTCAGAGGGACACAAAGGGGAGCCAGTTGTGTGAGTTATTAATAAATAATATGTCATATGTTTAATTCAGTAGGCTTTAAAGCCAAGATCCCAACTGCAGACCTCGGCATGAGATCATGTGCAAGCACAGAATTAAATATGTGCATAAATTTTCTTGACAGCACAGGGCCTAAGGCAATGGGGAAAAGGGTGACAGCATTATTAGTATTTCAGATCTACCCAAAATAAACGTGTTCAGACTGACAAATAAATCAATAATAAAAGATGTGTATTTTAATAAAAGTTTAAAACTGAAAAAAGCAACAAAGAACAAGCAAAGTCACTACTAAATTATTAAAGGCCCAAATACTTCCCTGGTAAAATGTGAGCTACCCTAGGTACGAATTTCATAAATTTTTCCCAATTACTGGCTGTTGGTTTTCTCTTCACTGAAAACAAGCTATGGGCTGGGGCAGTTTTTGTATTGTAACTCATGCAAATAAAATGCAGCTGTGTGTCAAAACAATCAAATGCCTGGTCTCAATCATTGTGAATTTAAATGCTATTCCCCCAGGCAAAATCCATTTCTGTGCAGTGCAGAAAGGTTTAATTTTAGAAACCTTCCAGTTTTGGAAATCTAAACCTTAGGAATACACATATAATGACAAAAAATGAAAATCAGCTAAATAATAGGAAAGAAGGGTAAGGAGCTGCAGGCACTGGAATGAGATCACTTACCTATATCCAGACATATGACCTCTTCCATCCATGTCATATCCCCCTCTACCTCCTCCCTGTGACCCGCCATATCCTCTATTATCTTCTCCATACCTGCTCTTTTCACGGCGGTCATCTGGGAGAATGAGTCAAACCAAACAGAGTCAATTGTAGTGCAAACTGCAGCACAATGAAAATTCACACCCTGGAATTCCCACCTCCTCTTCATTAACTCTGCCATTTACATCTCAGATGTATCAACTCCTAAATCGCCCTGACATTCTCTGTGCCAAAAAGAAAATAAAAACCAAACCAAACTTTGCTCCATTATCTCCCTTGGCTTCCAGGGTCACCAAGTATATAAAAATGTAAAAACCACTCTGTAATTACATTCCACTTTCCAAACACTGAACACATATTGTCTAAAATATACTTTCCATTTGACTTCCATACAGTCCTCCCAGTTTGCAAAAGACATCACTGAAGACAGAACAAGGATAAATAGAGTGGGTTGTGCTGCTGGTGTGAAGTTAATGCAAAAAAAAGGCTTCATCTTAAACTTCTCCTTCTATCTCACAATTCACCTACACAGTGTAAAGCTGGAATGTGAAGTGCAGAAGCTCTTCATGACTGATCAAGACATGTCAGCCTCATGCAGGAAGAGGGTTCAAAATAGCTAGGAAAAAAAATCCATCTAGAATTTGCAGAACTCAGGGACAGAGTCTCTGCAAGGCTGTTCTAACATACATAAATGCAACCATTTTGGGGCCTCAAGAGATTTTAATCTTCCTATATTTTTTTGAAGTTTTTACCAAATTAAATTTTCCCCCTTGACCTTCGGCTTGGAAAGGATTTTAATTGTTCTTTAATTCAACTGCCTGCAGAAGGAAATCCAACCATTTCACAGAGCTTCTGCTCAATTTTATTAGCCAATACTGAATTCAAGGTGTCAATTTTACCTTGGCTGTTGTGGCTATAGCTTCCCTTCTGAGACTGGTAGGATTGCTGGGAGTGGCCATATGAGCTTTGGTGTTGGTTATAGCCTGACTTTTGGTCATAAGAGCTCTGGTGGCCATAGCCCGACTGCTGGTCATATGAGCCCTGGTGGCCATAGCCCGACTGCTGGTCATAGGAGCTTGACTGCTGGTCATAAGAGTCTTGGTTTTGTCCATAGCTTGACTGCTGGTCATAAGAGCTTTGGTGCTGACCATAGTTTGACTTTTGTTCATAAGAGCCTCTTCCACTTAAAACAAACAGAATTTGAATTAATAGCTAAATGTTCACAGAATAGAGAGCAAAATAACGGCTGAAAATTCACGACATTGTTAAAATTTCCTAATTGCAGTTACCTCATTACATAACTTAGGAGCATCACTCCTCTCACACGTCCCAGTCCAACACTTGCTTTCCCCCCTCTCCCCAGTACCATCAATGGCTGATGGAGAGCCTGTGACCTGCTGAACACCAAATCCTTCCCCCTGGGCCTGCAGGGCAGGGCCTCAGTGCTCATGCTGTATCGTGCAGCTGAGACTTGCTGCATAAAAGATCCCAAAATTTTGCTTTCACTGAAATACAACCTTTCTTCTTCTGGGCATTCTACAATTTATCAAGAATTTTTCTAACTGTTCTGGTGGCCTGTAACATACCTGTGGTTCTTCTCACTTCAGTGCCATCTACACTATCCCAGCAGCTCTCATCAGAAATACTGGCCAGTATCACATCCAGAATACTCCAACACAATATACCTCTACATTCCAAGAGGGAGTCATAAATCTTCTCTAAGATTAAGATTAATAACTTTGGAGCAACCACAAGGGAATCTCACCTACACCACACTTGCCTAAGCTACTTCAGCATCTGAAGGAGAAACTAAAGTATTTTGAAAATCTAGCTATGTGAGACAATAGTTCTCTTAGCCTTTCATGACAAGGCATAATATAGATTTATGAGAAATAAACTGCATCCAGGGAACACTGGCTGTTACTCATTCCTATGTTTCCCCCCAGGTAGTTAGTTGTGCCTGAGCTGTCTGATTTTTTTTCAGTAACTGAAAAGAATCTCTGACCTCTGCCACCCTTTCTTCCCTTCCCCCTCCCTGCTTCCACCCTTTTTTGAAGGATGATGCACTAGATCTGCTACTCTGCAGTCTTTGGCAATCTTACTTGCTAGTGAAAGTATCTCAGAAAAATGGAAAAAAAATTCAACAGCCTCCAGGAAGTTTCCACCAGCTTTTCAAAGCACTTTCAGAAGTAGTGCGTTGGGTCTAACCAATCCCAAAATATCCCATCTCTGTAAATACCATTTAATCTGCTCTCTCCCACTTCTAGCCTAGATCTCAGCTTTAGCCTTGCTAATCCCAGTGGCAAACAGCTTGTGAAGATTTTTGTTATTATCTTCACGTCAAGAAAGTCAGCTCTGCTTTAGCCTTTGCACGTTTACCAACAAAGGAAGCATTGTTGAAAGCATCCATTATTTGCTGTCTTCCCTTCCCTCCCCTAGGATGTGACAGCTACAGTTTTGTGACCACCCTCTTCAAAGCTGCTACCATTTAATGTCTCAGTTTCTCCATGTTTGTTACAACCCTACATTGAGAAGCTTCCCTTCAAGGTCTTTTCTTCATTTTCTGTATTACAAACAATTTCTTGGAGAGCCTATGTGCTGTATTTTTATTCTACTGGACATCTAAAGAATTAAAAACTACATTATTACTTCTCTACAGCTCTAATACTCAGTTAAATAAATATTCAGAGAACAAAGCAAAACAAAACTTAACTGTGTACCTGCCTTTGTTATGGAAGGCAAAAATGACATCTGAGTTGAAAGCACCTATTGCTGGCAGATTACAATTTATTTTTTTTTTAATATTAGAATGTTTTATAATAAGAACTGCAAAACCAGAAACCAAGTAGAGGTTTTCTCAAGTCCAGATTATTTTATCACCTTACAAAAAAATACAGAATCATTTGGACCTTGGACACAAGAATGAGGTTTACTAGTCAACAGAGTACTTCAAAGAGGTCACATGATCCTCAGTAAAGCTCTAACACAAGCAGTGACCTCGGGTGGAGGCACACAGCCTGTAAAGCACAGTGGAGGTATTCTAGCATTAAGTGGCCTTTTAAGTCATTCTGGGAAGTTAGGTTGTATTTTCCAGCATACTTTCAAAGCTGTATCATTAATCCTCCTGAAATTGAATCCAATACAACATCACAAGTAAAATATATTTGAAATAGCACAGAGTGCAGCATGCATGTGCGCATTTAATTTCCTGATGAGGATATAAACTCACCATGTTCTGAGAACTCTACTTAGTTGGAAAACCAAAATATATTTCTTACATGACATTTTTGAATCGTTTCTCTTTCAAGAAAAGGCATTCTGAGCCAGATAAGCAGTCTGCAATCTGAGAGCAGCTAAGACTTCCCTTGCTAAGAGCTTATTTGAAGGTAATAAAAGAGCACTGTAAGTTTATACAAAAGAATGTGATTGGAGAGGGATTTGATAGGTCTTTCTCCTAATCAAAACACTCTGCCAAGTCCATTCTTCATTGTAGCCACAATCCAAAGGCTTTCTAAAGTGTTATGTCCCCATACAGCTTGACTTCAAAACAACTACACCATTCTTCTCACATAAAGAAATATTCTTCCTGTACCTCCTTTCAGATTTTAAACATGTTTCAAGGATGAGGATCTTCAAATATTTGTCTTTTTCTCAGCAATGTTAGCAAGAAATATGTTATAGCTCTAGTTAAGAATGTACAACTAGACAATAATTTAAATAGGTACTAGTAAACTCTGCTTCCTTACCCTCTGGATGACCCTTTCTGCTGCCCCTGGCTGCCATAGGACTGCTGGTTGTAGGAGCTCTGATTCTGATTTTCATAATTAGATTCATCATCGTATCCCTGGGAATCTTGTCCATAACCTGGAAATTGAGGAAGAAAATTTTTAGTCAATATTCACCTTTTAAATCCTGCCAATGAATGCAACAAGCTAGCCAAACCTGATTGATTTTGTCCATAGTTCCCATGATAGCTTCCATAGTTCTGTCCATAGGAGGAATTGTCTCCACTCTGCCCATAACCAGAATATCCCTGTAATTTCAAGAATGTATTCAAATAAGTGTAACTTCCACAGCAGTAAATTACAGTTTTCCTTGGCTAGACACAACTGCAAACATCAAGCACAGGTGAGACTGGAATTCTTCCTGGCCCAGAAACAATTATTTTCACTCAAGGAACATCTGCTTTGAAAGCCACAATGTTTTTTTTCAACATACCTGTCCTTGTCCATAATTCTGACTGCTCTGACTGCCATAGGATGAGTAGCTGGAAGAGAAAAATGCATTTATGAAATGTTTAGAGTGCCCTCCACACAGGCTGGAAAGTAAAGGTATTTTTGATGTCTCTAAGTTTCTCTTCATTCCAAAATAGGTCTTTAATCCAAGCACCGCAGTTCCAGGCATATTCATACTGTATCAATGGATGGTTGACAGTCAGAAGCCAGAAGAGCTTATTTTAATTTCTGCTGTGTTTCAAATATAAATTTGAAGTACACAAAAGCTGGGTTTGCTGTAATTTTATATTATACTTACTCATTATTCTGCCACTTTAAGCCTTCATGAACTGACAGAAGTAGCATGTGCTGAAACTCATCATACTGAGATACAAACCCAAACTCAGAGAGTGCTACATGCACAAAACCTCATGATCTTCATTAGCACAGGCAGCATTAGCCATGATTTTTTATACTTCCATAAAAACACTTGTCTCACTGATTAAAATATGTCCTGCAGCCTTGGGCCATGTAACAAATATCATAACCTTTGGCTTTCTTAGTGAACAGCTTAAGGCAATCACATGAAAAGTATTTCTCTATATTAATGTCATTTCAAAAGTTCTTACAGGATGTCATTCCAATTTACACTACGTGACTATTGTCTTCTTTTCAGGAATAGATTTCTCTTTGTTTTATAAGACATCTTGAGAAAGGCCCAGGTGCAATCTTTCTGCATCCTTAATTCCAAAAATCTCTCAATATTCTATCCTGAATAATCAATCATCATGCAGGGAATACTAAATGGTCTTTTAGTTTGCAGATGTAATTGCTAACAGCAAAACAAAAATCCTCACATACCTCTGCTGGCCCCCAGACTGACTGTAACTTCCAGAATCTAGAAAAAGAAATAAGTGACATTGAGAATTCCCAATGAACATTTTAGTCTCTACTACTAGAGGAGAAAATTTGGGGAGAAGGAGAAAGGTTCAAGTCTAGTGGATATTACAACTACTATCCCTGCAGAATGAAGCTTCCCCTTCATTAACAAAAGTGAAAATATGAAGACTGAAATGACAGCAGCACAGGGTGTGGGGGACACAACACACTTTTGAAGGATCTGAATTCTGTTTTCAAGGAATCTTTGCAAATACCCAGAACTGTACAACCCCTCTAATGGCTATACAGTGCCATCATCAATGAGCAGAATGCAGCAGCTTAATTAATCAAGCAAAGCTAAGTAGGTCAGTGCAGCTGAACCCCTTTTTGGGATGCTCTAAGAAAGCTCTGCTGAGCTGAAGGACACAAACGGAGGCAGAATGGAAAAACCAGCGATGGAGGAGCCATGACACTTCCCTCTGCTCATTCTGCAAGAGGAAAAACCCAGCTGAGAGCTCAGCAGCACGTGACAGATGCAGCACACAGAACACACACACACTGCTCCATCAGCCCCACAGCCATCCCAGCCCCAGCTCTGCACAATTCCTCACATCCCACTCTGCTCCGTGCCCTTCCAGCTCTGCACTGCTCAGGCTCCATCCATCTCACCTCCTAGGCAGGACTGAAATCTGCTTGAAGTTCTCACCTTCTTGTCAAAACCCAAACATTCTGGATAAGCCCTGCAATTTTTCCTCTTCCAATCACTTCAAGAATTTATATAAATACTCACATACCATGGCCTAATAAAATCTATCAGGAATGTCTCATCCCCAGTTTCACTCTTCCCCCCACATTCTCTCTCCAGCCTCTATCCCCACAAGTGCCTAAAACGCTGACACTGAGAATTAATTACAAGGCAGGGTAAATGTCATAAACGACTGCGACCATTTTCCAATCAAAACACTCATCAGATTGCTGAATCTGCTCATTATACGTCCCTCAGCAGGACATAAATCCAATCCTGCCAGTGGTTACACAGACACTTAACCAGAGCTTTGATGAGGGCATCACCTGAGGTGATGGATTTGAGAGGAGGGGGTATCACCCGAGATATTCAGACACCAAGCAGCATTTTTAATGGTAACGTTATCTCCTCAAAGCAACACAAAGTATCAGATTTCACATTCTGTAACAGAAATATTTACCAAATGCTAACACGAGATCAAAGGAGGTTAAATTTCCCACGCAGTTTCACTTAGATGTGAATTTCTCCTCCCTTTCCACTGCTACACAAATATTTCATTGCTTTTTCATATTGAAAAGCAATTAAAACCCAAGGCAGAGGTGAAATTCAACGGTTTTTTTAAGGCGTAAGGTGAAATTGTTAGTTTCCATTTAAATGATCACCAAGATTATGATTCACATTGTGAAATATGGTTGTGGTTTAATTCTAACATTTCTATGCCATTAATGCTGCTAATTAAAGAATATTAATGGTTGTATCAGAAAATTATTTAGTAAGGATGTAACTAGCTTTAAATTTAAGAACTGCATTTAATCTCCTTAGCATCTCCATCATACCACAACATTTTGGAAAAAAAATTGAAAGCAACCAGATTAGGAGTCTGTAAAATATGAGAACATGCAATCAGAGGAATTTCCTTTATTTATAAATTTTTCTACATCCTCTGCTGGACCTCTTACAGACTTCTGATCAATTTATTTTCGTGGGCTCACTAGGGACAAGAAACTGTAAGGATTTTTGGAAATAACAGTTTATTCTGGAAATTCTTACACTGACTTTTTTTTTTTGTTTAAAAAGTTGATTGAAAGACTTCTTGTTAATGAAGTGGGACATAGCAGTCTAATCACCTTGCACTGCTCAGGGGGTTTATTCCTCTCAAGATAGAACAATCTGCTGTGTACATTTGAAAACTGAGATTTTCTTATTATGTAATTCATATAAAGATGCAGCAGTGCCTCTCATTATCTTCCAAAGAAAAAAACCTCATGTTTGAACATCACTAAAAACAGAGGAGACACATAGGTGCTTGACTGATCAGTAGCTGACAGATAGGGTAAAAGTGGATGCAATTTACTGCCATGCTTTAGTAGAAAAATTCCTAATTTGGACTCATTTTAGTACCTTTGGCCATATTTGCTTTTCCAGGTTCATCTGCTCCTTGAATGAAAGGATTCCTGTACCACCCCTTGCTTTGTTTGTATTGTCTATCACTCACACGCAGCAGGAGACAACGCCAAAATGGCTCGACCACAACAAAACATGGCTCGCTCCACAAAGCACGCCTTGGAATTCCTCCTCCCACTTTGGGATCCACCGGTATTCACACCTAGCCAAGGCTTCACTGCCGGGGGAGCAACCATCCACACTTCAAAGGGGATGAAGAAACAGCACATTGTGCTCGGAGAGGTCCCAGGAGAAGCTGGGCTGTGTCAGGTCACCCGGGAGAGCAGATCCTGCTTCCCTGCTCAACTAAAACCCCGCTGGAAAACAATCCCAGCCAGGGCGGTTTTGAGCCCACGGCAGGGAGTGTGAGCCCCCCCACTTCTCTGTGTGAAGAGCACAGAGTGCGGAGCAGAGGCAGCACAAAGGGCTGGGGAGGGCATTTCCCATGCTAAAGAGGGGCAACACCCAGGGGAGGGGGTGCCTGCATTCCATATGGGGTGCTGGTCCAGAGGAGGAGCACACAAAGCATGTTAGCCACGACCCAAAGGTGATCCCCACTTCACAGCGGCATGGGGGTGGGGGGAACCACAAACCAAAGTCGGGGTCCACAAGGGGAAAGGCTGTGACCCAGAAGGGGGGGAAGTTCCATTTCACACCGAGAGGAAGTGTACACAACCCAAAAGTGGGGGAACCAACAGTGGGCGATATGAACCAAAATGGGGCCCACATCCCATACACGGTGGGGGGGACCACGACCTAAGGCGGGAGGGCCTATACCGGGAAGTATGAACCAAAATGGGGTCCACACTCACTCTGGTGGCCTGTGGCACAGCCTAAACGGGAGGCCTAGACCCCAAAAGAAGGGGTGCATGCCACGCATCATCCGAGCACAAGACCCCAAAGGGACCCTGCCCCACGGCCCCCCCATTGCGACACGGGTGGGGGGCGCGCCCGCCAGGCCACGCCCCCGAGCCCGAAGGGGCGTGGCCCGAGCCGCTCCCGCAGCGGGGCTCCCGGGAGGGGGCGTGGCCTCGGCCGAGGGGGCGTGCCCACGGGGGCCACCGGCGGGGGCGTGGCTCCCCTCCCCCTCACCGAGCGCTGCGGTGGGTGGGTGGGGGGGCGTGAGGGAAAAAGCGGGCGCGTCCCCCGCAACATGGCCGCGGCCTTTCCCACATGCGCCACATGGCGCTCGCTCCGCCCGCCCTCCCGCGCCCCACCGCGCCCGCGCTCGGCGGCGGGAAGCGGAGCCGCCGCTGCCCGCTGAGGCCGGCGGGGCTGGCGGCACCTACCCGAAGCCATGGCGGCGGCGCTGAGGGGCGGAGGGAGCGGAAGGAGCGCAGGGAGCGACCCGCCCGCCGCGCCGGCCGCGCGCACACTGAGGCACCCGCAGCTCGCGCGGACTGCGGGGCCGGGTGGCCAATCAGAGCTCGCGGCGCCTACCACTCGCTGGGGAAGCGGGGGGGGTAGGATGGGCCGTGCCAAGGTACAGCGGGAGGAGGGGGGGGTTGAAATGAGGGGAGAGGGTGTGAGGCTGTGCGGGCACATCAAAGGATTTAATTAATTGAATTAATAAACGCGCAGGGCATGGTCAGCGTGTGCAGACTGAAATGGAGGGTTTGCACGCCCGGCTTTCCGCACCAGCAGCTCCCGTGTTTCCCTCAGTTCCCCACTTGCGCATCACCGGTTGTAGCAGATGCTGAGTGGGGTCAGAGAAAACATCCAAAATCTGGGTCCCGCAGGAAAATTGATAGAGATTTGCCAGCGTTTCTGAGTATCCCAGAAAGCCAAATATCAACTTGGAGAATGGTTTGCCAAAGAAAGGGACGGGTCATGATCTTGGGAGCCACTTCTGTGGAACCTGAGGGTTTGCTTCAGAGAGAAAGAGTGATGAAATGAAAAGAGAGCAAAAGCGACATTGATTATTTAATCTGATTATTTTTAGAAGTTGTATTTCTTGTTTCACATCAAACTACCTTCTCGTGGGAGTGGTAGATTAACAGTTGCACCTTTCTGTCTAGGGACAGTCTGCACATGCATCCAGAGAACAGTGAGGTTTTACCCTGTTTTTTGGGTTTTTTTTTAAATTTTTAAGGCAGTGAGGAGCTTTCTCTGATTTCAGCTGAACGGTTTGAGCAGATTTACAGAGAAGTTGGGCTGTTTCTTTCCCCCCTGGGCGTAGCAGCAGGAGGCAAATCCCACTGCCACAGCTGAAAATAAGTTTCTGCAAAACAAGCAGTGACTGGAATGATTAATTAAAGAAAAAAAA